AAATAATAATAATAATAATAATAATAATATACAAAGCAAGTCACACACAACGCAATTGCTCACGACGTGCTGACCGAAACCCAGACAGTTCCCGAGCAGCGATCCCTCCCCGCCAGCCAACTCCCCCCAGCTTATATACTGAGCATGACGCCATATGGTATGGAACAGCCCTTTGGTCAGTTTGGATCAACTATTCTGGCTGTGCCCCCTCCCAGTTTTCTTGTTTACCCAGTAGGGCATGGGAAGCTGAAAAGTCCTTGACTAGCATAAGCAGTACTTAGCAACAACTAAAACATCAGTGTGTTATCAGCATTGTTCTCATATTAAATCCAAAACATAGCATAATGCCCGCTACTAAGAAGAAAATGAACTCTATCCCAGCCGAAACCAGGACACCCCCTTCAAAGGCTTGATGGGTAAGAGTTTGCAAGTTATGTGCCTGATCAACTTCCAGAAATAACCAGCAGTTTTTCTTCACAGTATGTTGGCATGAAGAACAAGGAAAAGATCTTAAAGCAGAATGTTTTTTGACTGTTGTTTACTGCTGTCCTATATAAAAATCAGAGAAGATGCTTCCAATTCGTCCCACCAAAATTATTATTTTAGAGTTCTGAGCACTAACGTAGTCCAGCTAGCAACAGTTCATTAACACAATTTTGTGTAGATTCTAAACAGTACTAGAGGTTTCAATATTGGACAGCTAAGCTGACGGTGAACCTTTATGTAGTACTATAATTTCTTTTCTTAACTAGGAAAACAAGGTATTCTCCAGTATTACAACTTACCGATATCACAAGCAAACTCATAAATATGGGGCTTTTGCAAGAGCCCCAACTGGCACATACAAGTAAGAGCATTGAGGGCTTTATAAATGACAAATTCTTCAGCATCACTGAGACCTTGCTGAAGCAGAGGTTTCAGTATTGATGAGCTTTGCCAGCCAACGTAAGCAGCAACACCTGAAACATAAAAAGAATGCATAAAAATCCAAAGTAGCACTTCCTGGCCTTTCCTCACCAAAGTTTAAAATTGCTATGCCACAGAGACATCTCAAAACAGATTGTTAGCCATTAGAAAAAAAGGAAGCTGCTTTCCATTCAAAGTTAGACCAATATTGTGAAAACTGTTTGATAAAAACAGATCCCTGTGCCCGCAGTGGCCCTTCCAGATGCCAGGCACAGAGATGTCAGCACACAGCTGGCCAGCAGAAGTCTGAAACAGCAAGGCAAAACTAGCAGTGCTCCTGAGGGGTGGGGATGCAGTGCCTGCATTTGTACACAAAAACGACAAATGAGCAACAATGAAAGGTTCTGTTAACAGGATTGTGTCTTTTAACTTAGCAGTGATTGTAATCTGAGTATCATTCAGACTCCTGAAAAGACTGAACTGGATACTGGACTAATTAGCAGCAGGGAAAGTCTATAACATACATTCACTTAGCCACAAAAGAAGAAATCACTAATAGTCAAAAAGGAACTTTCAGAACAATCTTCTAAAACTCTTCCACCCTGAAATGGCTGCAAGATACGCTGTTTAGTTAACTAGTCTCAAATTATTTGCCATCATGAAGCCATCTTGACCCCAGTTTCAAAAATAAATTCAGTTTTAAAATATATTTCAAAATCTTAGAAAGAAGCCAAGATCAAAAGGAAAATGAAGGTAATTCTTTTGAAGTTGCTGGACAAAAATATATCAACTGCATTGCAGTAAAAGAAACTGCTTTCCTATTCTTCTTCCCTTCCCACGTGAAAACCAGCCACTGGCTATATGAAACTGTCATCTGGAATTGCTTGTTTGGATTAGATAACCAACTTACTGTTGCCAGAAATTAATTACTGTAAGGGAGATGTACCTTGTTGGATTTCTGATCTTTCCCTCTAGCTTTACATCCATCAAGTTAACATTCCTTCCCACAAACAACTGGGCAAGTCCTCTGATTGTTCTCAAGAGAAAAAAATTAGTATTTCATTGAATAGCTCAGGCTTATTGTTGCTATTGTCACATGTGGTACACAGCATAGACCATAACTGCCTCTGCTTCCAACCCAGTTATTTGAGATTGATAAATACCAGAAAACGCAATGTCTTCCCATCAGAATCGAGATTAAACATAAAATAACTTTATCACTTTTGCTCTAATAAGGTAATTATCAATATACTTGCTCATGTATTAATGCTGAGCTTTGGAATCAGTTGCTAAAAGGAAGAGAGGAAGAAGGGAGAAATAGCACAGGTAAGAGAAATCCCCTCATTGCCACTTACAGAAGAGCATCTGCCCACAGCCACAAGCAGCAGTGCCTGCACATACTGAGTGTCTGCACATAACATGAGGTAGAGAGCTCAGTTTTAAAGATGTGCAAAAACTTTAAGTAAAACAAAAATATAAATTTTGAACTTTATCTGAATTCTTCCGTGGAGGTTTTGAACAGATACTGGGAGAGGAGGAGGAGTTAAAAATATGGGTTACGTGTCTTGACTTTTACACTTAATTGCCTCACATCTGTCTACACATCTTTTGCAAGAAGCCAGGACACTGTGACCTGTGCTTTGGCTACCCCATTGCTCCTTCTAAACAAATTCTGGCAAGTTATTAGCATCACATCTTGACAGGGTTTGCCAGCACAGCATTTTGTGGCTTCCAGTCATAACGGAACGTGTGCCTACCATAATGGCCCTGCTGGAAGTTTGATCGTACTAATTTTTCTTGCCATGCACCTGAAGTACCATTTTTTCCCCCCAGGTACTGCAATGGGAAAGTTTCCTTGACCCGCAAATCCTGAGCACTGACTCTCAGCAACAGTCATGTGGAATAATTTCCAACGTACATGGAACATTAGATATACTTAACAGCTGATGTCATCACTGGTAAGGTTTTTAAAATTGTTATTAAGTTTTCCAGGCTGACAGGAATCTTTAAGTGAGGTTTCAAGGCACTAAAAGAAATTTTCAGATTATAATTTTAGCCTATACCTATGCATAGTTTTCATCATATGAACAGGTCTACTGAAGTTAATGGGACCATGCACACATGTGAATTGATACGTCTACTAGCCAGCTTGCAGAAATCTTAGTACTTACTTGTCATAACTTAGCTTTTTGAGTCAGTGGCTTTAGCAAAAGACTCAAAAAAATAGCATTTAAAGTTTATTTTTTATGTTAATCTGACCTAGACTTAAATGCCTCAGTCTCATTTGTATTAAATATTAGGACTAAAAGAAAAATATATTTGTATTTACATTGTTTTGTCTTCACTCCCTAAAGAAACATTTACACCCAATAATTCAGCAAAGTCTTTTCCTATACATTATAGAAATCTTCGTAAGAAAGGACTTTTATATGACTGTTAGCAGTTTCCAGGATATGCAAAAATAAATTTATTTACATTATCATCTTTCTACTCTGGCTGAAACCAAACACTTACCAACAATGCTGTCAAAGAAAGCTCCTCGAAGATGCCAGTCATTCTTGTCATTTAAGAAGGTGATCATATGAGACAGAAGAACATCATTGGCTTTCTGACGTCCAAAAAAGACACAGAGACGTGTTATTCCATTTTCCATCAGTGTTTGTTTCACAATATTCTCTGGGTCACTTAGCAAAGTCACAACTTTCTGCTGGACCATTTCATGCAAGGCTTGCAACTCTGCAAGAGACAACAGGATGAACATTTGGGCTGGCAAGAAACAATATGTGCATGTGTACTACCTGCTACTAAAGGAGTTCCTGAAGAACACCAAACTTGGTAAGATGGGCGACACAACAGAACCTCAACAATTCCAATAACTGGCTTACCAAAACTTCAGACTAAGCATGAGGTGGTGGCAAAGCCAAAGGGTACAGAAACGCGAGACATTCTTACCAGATCAATATATTCTAAACTTGTCATAAGTTCAACTAAGATGATCCAGCTCATTGTATATATAGGTGAAATGCAGATGCGAAGAAGCATCAGAATGAATCAGCAGCAATGTTACAATAGTAAACAAAATGCTTCAAGGCAATTCTGGTTTGATATGTTTATTTGACGATCAGTTTCAAAATTTGTGAACTGACAACAGATCAAGAGTATATTTTTAGTTAGGTAGATTGGCTTCATTAAGGATACAGAGAAGAATAAACAATACTTGAAAAAGCGAGGACTTCCAACTTCATTAAATATCAGCAGTTACCCTAACGATACTGATGAAAAATTTGAAGGTGACCTTGACCATGGCTTCTACTCCATGATGCAACTAAAATATTATTTCTATTAAATGGAAATAACAGAATTGGTAATGCACTCGCTATTACTGAAAGCTGTACAAGGGAGGTCCTCAAGCAAGTAGCATAAAAATTTCAGCTATTGCTGTCCCAGCTTTGCAGGGGTTATTACCATTTGCCTGCAGTCAGAAGACCAGCTAATTTGCTTTTGTATTGTGACTCTGTCTGTCAGTCACATGAAAAACTTGTCGTCTTAGTTCAAATTTCTCATGCTTGGTTTCTAAAAGGGTAAAAAGAATAGATCTATTCAAACTTCTTTCTTCCTTGTGTAACTTCTTTCATCTCCAAGTTATTTTGAGGGATGGGGGACAGTATTTCTTATAAATACAGCCTGTACGATGGGGCTTCCTCTGTCACTCCTCAGCAATTCTGAGCACCCCATACTTTATGTGAGGGAACTTGAAGGAGACTTTTTATGTTTGGTTTTGGTACGTTTTTTTGGGTTGTTTTTTTTTTTAAGTATCACCCTGCAACTAGTTAAGAGATAATTGAAACATGCCTTTTTCCCCTACCACATGGAGCATGTGTGAGATGTTTACCAATTATGATTAGTCACTGATTGATCTACTTAGCCTAAAAGAGAAATGACAGGTTTTAACCACAAACTCTTCCCAGCTTAGACAACTTGCCTGGCATTGTTCTGGAAATCTATGTATCACTAAAAGGCACTGGAGCTGACACACAGGCCACTTATTACCATCCCTCCTTCCCAAGGGAAAGAAAAAGAAAAGCCATCCTTAGGATTTTAAGTTATTCTCTGTGCTACAGTTACAATAGCACAGATAGCAGTGTTACTGCCCAATGGCATCCATACATTCAGTATCTTCAGGCAAAAAGAGAGGCAAGAATTGCCAGGCATAGGAACAGAAAAGGAAGAATGACTGAAAAATACAGTACTATGACTATGCTAGAACTGGACAGAGTTTTCAAAGCTAACGCTGCCTGCCACTTCAGTGGAAGCAGCATTTGGAATACAGCCATGTTTTCGCAGCTGACTTGTTTACAGGATGGTGAGTGAAGCTGGATATGCAACCAGGCAGCCAGCATCACAGTCAAATACCTTGAGAACCTTTGGAGAAGAAAAGTGTGCTCGTTTATATACTTTTTTGTCTTTCACAATGTTCAGAGCAGATCTGTCTGTTTCTGCATGAAGCTGTAACACACATGCTTTGACACTGGTTGAGGCAAAGCATTCTTCCCATTTAATAGGAAGGCTAAGCTTTAAGAGATGAGGAAGATCAGTGCTAACTAGGAGCTTTGGCCCATGATTTGCTATTATAAGCAGGCATGGTAAGTAGAAGTGACATTACCTGTGTCATAGTTATCACTAGGGTGAGATGTTTCATCCATTTCTTCACCATTTGGTTCATTTTCCATATTCAGATTTTTCAGCTGTACTAACTCCAGAAATCTCAGAGCTGTTTCTGCCAACAACGCTATATTTTCTGCAAAGGAAAACATTTTGGTTAAGAATTGTTCTACTTTGCCAATTTACACCAGTCTGATGATCCCTCTGATGAGAGATTATAACCACTGACAATACCAGTCACGATGGGCAAATGGGATTGAAATTACACAACATGCTCTGGTCAACCCACTTCTGTTGACCCTGACCCTAGAGAACCTACCAAGTACATCAAATCACACAGTAACGTCATGTAAACAAGTGGAAAAATTGTAAGGATATCAAGTGTAACAAGGACTAATTTCAGCCTTCTAGAACTAGCCCTAAATGCCATCTAATCTCAGGCTAATGACTAAATAACTTGATAGAACTTGAAGGCCAATTAACCTGAATTAACTAACATGCCCACATGGCAGACTGCAACAAAACAACAAACCACCACGCCAAGATAGGGAATAACAACAGGGTTACCCTTGAGGGCTGGATTCCACTTTTAGAACATTTGTGCCCATATCTATCCACACGGTTTGGCACCGTTCTGCACTGTTTGGAAGCTGCTGAAGCAACTCAGGCTATATTATATGGGTTGGACCACTGCTGGCACAGGAATAATCCCATCGAGGCAGAAGTCCCACTTAAGCAGCCATTCTGAGTGTTGTCCAAGACAACAGCAGCATGCCAATGGAGCCTGTCCACAGCCCAGATCAAATCCTGTAAGCCAATAGTCTGACCACTTCCAAAAATTGTGCTATAGCAACACAAGTTAACTCAGGTATTATTACACTGTTAACTAAGCTATTAGACTACCTTTAAATATATATATATAT